AAGAATCTACTAAAACGACTCCTAGAACTGATACATGAGTTTAGTGAATTTGCAGGATACACAAATAAATGGAAAGATAGTCTCTGTTCGTGGGTTGGAAGAATATCAAAATGTCCATAATTACCCAAAGCAATCTACAGATTCAATGCAATTCTTATCAAATACCAATGACATTCTTCACAAAAACATAAAAAACAATCTTAAAATTTGTATGGAACCACAAAGGATCTCGTGCAGCCAAAGCAATCTTAACCAAAAAGAACAAAGAGGCATCAGCCTTTTTTAAACCCACATACCTACAATCAACTGATTTTCAACAAAGGTGCCAAAAACATACACTGGGGAAATAACAGTGTCATCAATAAATGGTGCTGGGAAAACTGTATACCCACATGCAGAAGACTGAAACTAGACCCCTATTTCTCACCATACAAAAAAAATCAACTCAAAATAAATCGAACACCTAAATTTAAGACCCTAAACTATGAAACTACTGGAAGAAAACATAGTGGAAAACTACACAAAATGGAAGTGGGGAGTGCTTTTTTGAACAAGACCACAAAGCCACAGGCAGCTAAAGCAAAGATACACAAATGAGACTACATCAAACTAAAAAGCTTCTGCACAGCAAGGGACACAATCAACAAAGTGAAAAGAAAAGCTACAGAACAGGAGAGTGTTTGCAAAGTACACATCAGACAAGGGGCTAATATCCAAAGGATATAAGTAACTCAAACTCAACAGCAAAAACAAAACAAAATGAACAAACAAAAAATCAAATAACCCAATTTAAAAAGGGGCAAAGAACCTGAACAGACATTTCTCAAAAGAAGACATACAATTGGCCAATAGGCACATGAAAAAAAATGCTCAACTTCACTAGTCATCAGGAAAGTGCAAATTAAAATCACAACGAGATGTCATTTTATTCCAGTTAGAATGGCTATTAGCAAAAAACAAAAAACAAATAAAAACACAGAAAATAACAAATGCTGGTGAGGATGAGGAAAGGGAATCCTCCTACATAGTTGGTGGCAATGTAAGTCAGTACAGCCTCTGTGGAAATCAGTATGGGGGTTCCTCAGAGAACTAAAAATTGAACTACCATGTGACCCAGCAATTCCGCTACTGGGTATATACAAAGGAAATGAAATCAGTATTTCGAAGGGACACCAGCACTGAAACACTATTCACAATAGCCAAGAGATGGGATCAACCTAAATGCCCATCCACAGATGAATGGATTAAAAAACAAACAAACAAAAAAAAATCAGTATTTCGAAGGGACACCAGCACTGAAACACTATTCACAATAGCCAACAGATGGGATCAACCTAAATGCCCATCCACAGATGAATGGATTAAAAAACAAACAAACAAAAACCTGTGGTATATATACACAGTGGAATGCTGCTAAGCTATAATAAAAATATTGTCATTTGCAGCGACATGGATGGAGCTGGAGACCATCATGTTAAGTGAAGTAAGCCAGGCACAGGAAGACAAATACCACATGTCACTCATATGTGAATCTGAAAGAAAAAAAAAATGTGGTTCTCAGAGTAGTGGAGAGTAGAATAATGGTTACCAGGGAAGGGGATATGGGGAAGGGAAGTGGTAGACTAAGGGTCACAAAGCTATGCTGTCTACCCTAAATGAATCAAGGTATAATATATGTATGTATTGAAACAACAGACTGTACCCCACAAATATGCACAAATAAACATTAAAAAAACAACACTACCAGTCATACTGGATTAGGCTCCACCTTAATGTATTCATTTTTAACCTAATCAACTTCTACAAGACTGTATCTCCAAATATGGTTACATTCTGAGGTACTGGGGTTACAAACCTCAACATATAAATTTGGGGAGGACGCAATTCAGTCCCTAACAGAAACTCTGGAAAATAGTTTAGAAATTTCTTAAAATAATAACACACATGCACACACACAAAAAATATTCCCTATATTTTTAGTGTATGCGAAACTTGTGTCCTGAGCTAATAGAGAAGTGTTTTCCCAGTGGTGCCATATCCATATAGCAGACACAGGAGACGCCCAGAAGCCAATATGTGCAAGCCTTAATGAATTTAACAATGAGAAGATCAATGCATGAAAGGATGACACGACGGTAATAACAAAGTGGTCACTTCTAGTCTTTTTTATTACATGCCTCCACTAAACATCCCTTTTAATAGAATACTGTCCAAACCAGAGGTATAGGAAGGGATCTGCAAACTAAGCTCTTAGCGTCACGTGGCAGGCGTGGATCTGTTTCATTAAAGCTTCCCTTCCCCGTTCTGAAAATCTGTGTGATTCTGGAGCTAGCTCATCAGATCAAATGAAATGCTCTCACAAAGCGTTTTGGGAAAATCACAAAGCAGATGAATTCTTACCACTGTTACTGACAAGATCACCTCATTCTCAGAGATTATTATATTGGCACATTTCCTTTCTAGAGTTATACTTATTAAACAAGACATTTATGGCATAACATGCAAAATCACTCCCTGTAGTCAAGAGATTAAATTTAGTTTCCTCTTTTTAACTAAAACAAAGTGCTAGCTCCCAGAAGCATCAATCTATATGTGCTCTAAGATTTAAAGAACTTTATGTCAAAATCTCGAAGTATTAGTTTTTATAAACACTTTTATAAACAAAATATTAGCCTTTCTTTATAAACACTACACTAACAGCAAAAGAACTTTCAAAAATTGCTTTTTTGCAATAAACACAAGAGCCCCTATATTACTGCTGCAATCGATACTTGATATGAAAGCACCCAACTCACTCTTGGAACGTAGTAGACACACATGGAGTTGTATAGTGCTACTTTCTGACAGGTGCTGTGCCATCAAATAAGCACAACTCCTGGGATGCAAATCAATACCAACCACAGCGATACTTGATATGAAAGCACCCAACTCACTCTTGGAACATAGTAGACACACATGGAGTTGTATAGTGCTACTTTCTGACAGGTGCTGTGCCATCAAATAAGCACAACTCCTGGGATGCAAATCAATACCAACCACAGCTAAGTGTGATCATGGTACAACCACTTTCTACTTAATCTCTGGCTGTGTGATCCTTCTCTGATAGCCTGTATTTCTTGATTCAGCAGTTCAAGTTCCTAGTTCTCTGCTGCAAAATAACATGCTTTGGGCCTATCCTCACATCACATCCAATTTGTGTTTTCTTCTCTATCACCAGTGCACTTAGAATTGTACTGATACCCACTGCCCAAGTTAAGATTTTTTCCCCCTAATTCTTTGCACTCACTGTTTCATGTTTCTTCTCTAGAAATAAACAGCTATAATGCTGAAACATATGGATGGTATCTAGAGGTAAGGGTGTTAAAATTATGTGATAAAATATTTACAATTGGAATTTTAACAAACGTCAATATCCAATAATAAAAGACTAGCATAATTATGGATAGTTATATAATGGAACGTTATACAGTCAGTACAAATGATGAGGACTCTACACATGCTGATAACAGAATTAAAAAGATTAGGTGAAAAAAAAAATCAGTGTCAAAAATGTGTATGGTACATTTTCAAAACATTTTTAAAAGTGTGTTTGAAATACCCCACACTTAAAGTTGCTTTAAAATGAGCAGGATAAGTGGACATTAGAAAAGAGAAGACTGGCTGGACAGTATAGTAAAATTATTCACAGAATTTTAAAAACCGATGGTTGTTCTTAAGCTTAAATTGTGCTTAGCTGAACAACTTATTTCCTCTAAGTCTGCCAATCTGTCTCACACACACACACAACTGGATGTATTTTTAAAAACATGTTAACTGGTTGCCTTGAGGGAGTTGGGACTGGATGGGAGACTTTTTTCATAATATACTTTTTCATTTCTTTGTGTTTTTGCTTTGTGTATATTACCAATTTTTAACAAATAATTTTTAACTTGCAAGATAATAAAGGTTCTTGAATAGTCCGCTTTTATCTGTTCGCCAAGCCTGCTCTGACTGGAATGCTCTTCCCTCCAGATATTCAAATGGTTCATCCATCCCCCACCTCAGGACTTTATATAATTATTTTGTTATATAGAGGGACAGACTCTTCCCCCACTTAAGAAAAACATCTCCCCTACTCCTGTAAGTATGCCAGTCTCTATCCTTTACCATGTTTTGTTTTTCTTATAGCACTTATTGCCAACTGACATTAAATTCCATATTTGTTTATTTTCACATCTCTCCCCCACTTAAGAAAAACATCTCCCCTACTCCTGTAAGTATGCCAGTCTCTATCCTTTACCATGTTTTATTTTTCTTATAGCACTTATTGCCAACTGACATTAAATTCCATATTTGTTTATTTTCACATCTGGTCATTGAGACAATGGCATTTTGTTGGTTTGTTCTCTCCTAGCCACTAGAATAGTACTCAGCCCAAACCTGGACTCAATGTATGCTTAATTTAAGAAATAAATAATTTGGAAGGTAGAGTAGATCTAAGAAGTAACTATATAGCACTGACATACACTATAGTATTTCTCACCTTGGGGGGAGAAATTTGTAGTGTAGTTGAAAAGAGCTACCCTACCTCTTCTCTGAAAGACACACCTGTACACATATAACATAGGAACTGGTGTTGAAAACCTCAGGTTGGAAGTTCAAGGACATCAGAACTAACAACTCTTTCATTAATCTAAAAGAAATTAACATTGAATCTGAAGCTGTTAACCTAAAGGCCACCAATCACGTCAATGAAGATGACTCCAGAGATACAGAGAAGACCAAATAATTCATGCCTACTACTGAACTCATACATGAACTTGTTAACTCCCAGCTGCACATTTCAAATGCAATCCAATTTTCTGTGATGTCAAATTCATATGCCTAAATTTATTAAATGGTACTAAATTACCTCTACATTTAGATTTGAATTTTCTACTAATCAATTTAAGTAAATGAGGTAGGGGAAAAAAAGACAAAACATAGACTAAGATAGGAAAATACACTTCAATTAACACATCTTTTCCTTTGAAGGGTAAAAATTTTATTTTTGAGGAAATTCTTACTGCACATTTTCAAAGAGAGTCACATAAGAAAGCAAAAATGTTATCCTCCCCTCATCCTAGAAATAAATAAAAAGGGCATAAAATTTCTTTTTAAATCGTGACACTTGGAAGTTTAGCACCACCATCCAAAATGAACAAAAAAGGGAAAAAAAGCATTTACTATATATTTCAGATTTCTTTGGCTGGGGTTTTCCCCATGTGTGAACATCTTTTTTCTCAATTCATATTAGCAAAACAGTAAAAACCAGGAAAAAAATATAAACCTAGTGGTTGCTGAAACTGGGGAGGGTGCTGTCTTGTCTTCTGTGCAGGCATTCCTGGGATCTCAGCTTTCTGAAAAAATCTGCTGACATTTTTCTTTGCAGTTGTTAGTTCCTTAAAGAATAATGGTAAACATTCTAATGTCCAAATCTTGGTTAGTCTTCCACCTTATTGCTTGGATGTTTCTTTGGTGTTGGTAAGGTCGTGGTCTGCTTTTTCCTTTATTTTATTTTTGAATGGTCATTAATACTTTAGGTCACCTGGAAAAAAATTAAGATCAAACTTAAACAAAATGACTAAGAGTTAAAGAATAAAAAAGAAAAAAATTATCTATTTTTCATATATATAATCTAGAAAAAACAGTATTTCAAAAGCTCTAAACAAAATCTACACATCATGTACAGATTTATAAACTATACATTAATGGAAACTCTTACTTTTTCAGTATTTTCCTTAAAGAGAAAAGGCAGTACATAATGGTAAAAATTTTGTTAAACTGTATAAAAATCTTACCGTCATAATGCCTTACCAAATAATCATTCATTTTAGTGGCTGCATCATAGCTCCTAATACAGATATACCACAATTGGCTACTTCCCCTATGTCAGACAGATTGTAAATAGCAGAAATATTTTCCCCCATATTTTGGATTATTTCCTTAGGAACAATACCTAGAAATAATGTTACTCTCAGTAAAAGGCTATGGTCCTTTTTAAATGATTAATATATAACTCTTAAGTCAGTTAATACAAGTTTGAATAGAGTTTGTATTTCTATGATAAACTGCCCATATTACCTAGAGATAAAATAGAATATTGCCAGCACCCCAAATGTCCACCCAATGAAAGGATGATTAAATTGTAAATCACTGTGTACTAAAGTAGACGGCATTAAAAAGCAGGAACTTATAATAATTCCAAGACTTTATTTATGAAATTTCAACAATTTTTTGAAAAATAACACTGACACTATAAGTTTTGAAACCTCTCTTTTACCTAAAAACTAATGAAAAGGGTAACAACGAAGAAATATAAAACTCTAAAGTCTCAGGTAAAAGGGTGAATGAAACCAACTATGACAAACTTTTAACAGGCTGGTTCTGTAATTGGGATGGTCTTTCTAGCTATATTTCTATCTGTATAAATGACATTTCAAAATAAACAAAAAAAAAAGTAGGAAACAACAATGATGAAAATAACAAGCTAACCTTTATTAAGAGGTTAATTCTTTAAAACACCCTATTCTAATCACTTATACATTATTTCACTTAATCTTTGCAACAACCCTAGATGCTAAATAATTAATACCTGCATTTTACCAGTAGCAGACATTACTGAGGTAGAGGATAAATAAACTGCCCAAGATCACCCAGCAAATGAGATGCAATAGAGCCTGAGCTGGATAAACAACCCCCTTGGCTCTTACACATTATATTGCACTGTCTCAAAATGCATAGTGTTCAAAAAAAAAAAAAAAGAGACAGAAATAAAAATAAATAAAGTTGGCAACCAAAGAAAAAAGAGAAAAAAAAAAAACACACTCTTCACTCTAGTTTATTTTACAGATAGTCTCCTGATACTAAAACCAGGCCTTTGTCAGAAACTTTAAAACTATCAAATTGGCTGGTAGGTACCACAAAAATGAAGCATTAGTTTTTCTAAGTGGTACTAACAGTTAAAATCTGTCGGGCTGGCCCCGTGGTGCACTCGGGAGAGTACAGCGCTTGGGAGCGCAGTGCTGGCGACACCAAGCCAACGGTTGCGATCCCCTTACTAGTCACAAAAAAGACAAAAAAAAAAAAAAATCTGTCTGTCTAGAAAAAAGTAGTTGACTATCTTCAACTCTGACAATGTTTATACCCCCAAAGCTTATTGAAATAAGGTCAATCCCAGAGGTATTTACCCACCAAAACTCCTTTTCCCCAGAATCCAATGGAGAGGAGGGTATGGCACAGATGAATTGCAGAACTAATCGTACAACTAATCTATACCACTGTTGAGAAATCAATAACATTTGAAAGAACACATCAACTCGAGACCAGGATGCCCAAGCTCTTACCCTGTAGATGGTGAAGGTGCCTGGGGAGCCTGGTGTTACTCAGCACTGCTCTGCTCGGTGGCTGGAGCAGGGTTCTCAGTCGGTGCTTCACCTACTCTGGTCTAAAACACAAAGCAAAGCCACATCCAGAATCAATCCAGATGAGAGTGGAAAGTTCAAGACTAAAATGTCTTAAAAGTTTGAATGTTTCTGCCTATGAAGGAAAATCACTGTGCAAAAATTTAACTACTCAGATATGAGTCAAAAGTAGAAATAAGTACCACAGAAGAATGGCCCCCAAATGGCAACTAAATACCACTATCCTCCATGAAGTCTATGATTTACAATTGCTTTCAATTCATGCTTAGAGCTTCTTCTCTATAAACACTGTCCTTTATTTGGAGAGCCCGAAATGTTTTAGCTCTGAGTCCCAATTAGTATGGGTAATTCGTTCAGAGAATGTTAGTTAGCTGAACTGAAATATTTAGTTTATGTTATGTGTAAGACATACTCTATACACATGAATCTTTAGCAAAATATTATATGAGAGTTCTTCAAAAAGTCCATGGAAAGATTCACATTATCTCTTAATTCTATTGTTACATGAATTTTTTAAGGTATCCTCATATTTAAGTGATAAGTTATCTTATAATAGATCACTCTTAGAAATGCTAAAGTTTGACATGACTAAGGACTCTCTGGCAACACTGACTGGTTGGATTTACCTCTTTGCCATCTTGTGAAGGAGCAGTGGGAGGACGGGGGCGACGCCGATAGTTGTAGGGACGCCGGTAACCACGGCGAGTAGACGGCTGGTTTGGACCACTGGCTGCTTGTTGATTCTCTTTATCTTCAGCCTCTCCAACAGCTGGAGCAGGTCGTGGGCGGGGAGGCCCCCTATAGCAGAGGACACAGAACAAAAGAAAACAAGTGTAACAGAACAGGGATTCTCAAGAATATGAGAATAACTCATATAAGGTTACATTTATTTTTAAAGATAAAAAGTCAAACGATTAGTACTTATTGCTAGAATTATTCACAGGTCATTACAGCAAATGGAACAAAAGTTTCGTGGAAAAAACCTTGTTTTTCTATCATTTTCCCCTTCGTTTGAATACATATTTCTAGCATGAAACATACTGAACACATACTATGTGCCTACCACGATTAGTACTTATTGCTAGAATTATTCACAGGTCATTGCAGCAAATGGAACAAAAGTTTCGTGGAAAAAACCTTGTTTTTCTATCATTTTTCCCTTCGTTTGAATACATATTTCTAGCATGAAACATACTGAACACATACTATGTGCCTACCAGGCCCTTTGATAGGCACTAAGGAAAATGAAAAAAGAAAAAAATAAATTGGTCTTGTATCTGCCCTCCGTGAACAGAGTTTAGTGGACACTAAGAGAATTAAACATGGGAAGAAAACTGACAGTATTATGTGCCAGAGCCTGTGCTAGCAGGTTTTCACATTAAATATTTAATTTTAATGCAAATTCTGTGAGCTAGATTTATAGTGAGAAAACCAGGAGGTTAGAGACGGTAGGTATCTGTGAACCGTATGAGTATGGAAATGCTGCTTTTATAGATCAAAAAGGGTCAAATATGACTTTCCCAAGCTATGAATAGACAGAGCCAGGATTCACATACACAAGCATCTCCTCTCAGTTTCATCACACATTTTTTATAAAATCTTTTATTTTGAGTCATTAGTAATTAATTATTAGTGAATATGCCTACAACTGGAATAAATCTGAAGAAGGAAAACGAAAACCAGTACAAATCCTTTCCCAATATATTTACTTTCAACAAATCCATATCGACAAATTTCAAGACAGTGTAACGTCATTCAGGAATGAGGTTCTACTTTTTCCATTTAACTCAAGGTAAAGGAACAGGCGGGTTCAATATAAAAAGCTCCAAAAGGATCTTAAGGAGTCTAGTCCAATTCAGTCTTCACAAGGGATGAAGTGCAAATTAAAAATCCACCCCTTCACTAATATTAAAATCACCGGAGGTAATAATGTCTAATATTTATTAAAGACTTACTATACTGGCTACCATATTAAACATCTTAGACGTGTTAGCACATTTAATTCTATCAGCAATTGTAGAATATTTTTTAACGTCCATTTTATAGACCTGGTGACTAAGGCTCAGAGAGTCCAAAAAATTGCCCAAGGACATACAGCTCCTAAACTGCAGAGTGAGAATTTAAATACAGACAACTTGATCCATGGCCTGACTTAACCTCTAACACTAGACAGCCTCAGTTATTAAAATATTCAATATCCCAAACACTTAATTCTTTCTCTATTTGTAGCACTATCATTAAATTGCCCACCAGTTAATTTTTATTAAATTAAATGAGATAAACAGATATCGAGTATGAATTTGTATCATATAAAAATTATAGAATACAAATAATGCTTTGGTACTAAAAGTTCCAGTTGTTAAGCATGGGGAAAATGCCACACCACCGTCTGAAAACATACACTAAAGAGTCCCCCAAAACTCTGCAGTGTAGACCAGGTAGGCACACCTCCTAACCACATAATAATTCCACAAGACAGACCCATAGTATCCTCATCCATCTCTTGCCACTCATGAATCCTTCAACTGATCATCAGATAGTGGAGAATGTTACGTACCTACGATACCTGGGGCGGTAAGTTGGATTTCGATGAACTGGTCCCTGCAGTTGTGCTCCCTCTGGGACTCCATCCTTCATCTCTCCCATCTCACCAGCCTAGAGAGAACAATGATGGCTGACAGTGAGTGTCATGGGGCATGCAGAAGACACACAGAACCTAAGTTAGTTGTGTTCAGAACTTCTTTAAAAAGCAAGAAATAAAATGTTTCATTAAAAAACTGGACATTCTCAGCTGTAACAGTGAATTATTTATTGATTAGATCTTTGTGAATGATAGGAAAGGAAGAAAAACTCATTCCTACTATAACAGTCTTTTGCCTTATCCCAGAGCCCCAACTTTATTTTACAATATTGACTTAACATTTTGAAATCTGACACATTCCCTTCAGCTCTTGAAAGAAAACCTACTTTATAAAAGGAAATGGAATGACATACCACATTTAAGCAATGATACCTTCTCTCTCGTTTCAAACTCAGAGCCACTAATTCTACAAACTGGCATCTCTTCAATAGCATGAACAGTTCTACAAAGGTTCTTCCCACCTCACTATCACGAGTTGTATCCAAATCTTAACCACACCTTCAGCTCTGATTTCTTCCTTTTTTTCCTTTTATCTGCTGGTGTATTCATGTATAACATTAAACAAAAAAATATACCTTCTTGATGACAAATGTAATAAAATTAACTTATTTTGTATAACTTTCAGGAGGAAGAATGAACAATTAAAAACTAACAAACAAAAAAAAAAATCAAGCAACATTCTCTGAAATTCTTTACCATACCTCCATATCTCAACTTTTTCTTTTCTCAAAACTAACATCTCCTCTTCTACCTCAGGGCCAAATACCATCCTTCATATTTGACTGAGAAAATGAAAACAGAAGAGAATTTCCACATTCTCCCATTATCGAATCTACCAACCCACCTGAACTTGTAATAATTTTCTTCTTTCCCATTACACTGGTCCATGCTTATATCAAAAACCGACCCCTCTATTCTTACCAAGCAGAGCAGACTGACTTTATTTATCTCTTCCTTCTCTTCTTCACTATGAACTATTATCGAATCTACCAACCCACCTGAACTTGTAATAATTTTCTTCTCTCCCATTACACTGGTCCACGCTCATATCAAAAACCGACCCCGCTTTTCTTACCAAGCAGAGCAGACTGACTTTATTTATCTCTTCCTTCTCTTCTTCACTATGAACTTTTTTCCTTGTCTACTCCATCATTTCCATCCAGGCATATAAACATATTGAAATAGCACCCATCTTTTAAAATTTTTTTAAATTTTGAAATAATCACAAACGGAGAAGTTGGAAGTATAGAATCTAATCCTCAGACCCCGTTCGAGTTTCACCATGAATCCCGATGTCTTTTACAGCAAAAAGACCCACTGAGAATCATACACTGAATTAAGTTCTATCTTTTTTTTTTTGGTCTGGAACAGTTCTACCTGGCTTTCATGGCCTTGACACCTTTAAAGATTTCAAGCCAGTTATTTTGTATCACTTCCCTCAATTTGGGTTGTTTGGTATTTCCTAATGATTAGATCTTATCTTTGGCAGAGAAGTCACAGTAGTGACACTGCATTCTTCTCACTGCATCTGTCTGGTGGCACGTAGTTTCAGTTTGTACCACTACTGACAACATTCACTTGGTTAAGGTAGTATCTGCCAGGGCCCTTCCACTACTGTTTACTCTAACCTTCTTTGTAATGAATACTTTGTGAGAAAGTATTTTCAAAGTCTGTAAATATCCTATTCCTCATCAAATTTTTCAATATATTCATTTATTTATATCTGTATGGACTCATTGTTCTCTTTTATTCAATGAGTCTGTTACTATCATTACTGGCCAATAGGAACCTCCTCAAGCTGGCTCATATGCTTTTGACTTGTCTCCAACATTCTCTGAGTACTTCCTTGCTTTCTGGCACAACAAGATGTTCCAGGCTCATATTACACCTTCTCTGTCCCAGCTCTGAAATCAGCATTTCTCTAAAGGAGCTTCGTTTTACTGAAGAACAGTATTTAGAAATGAAAAACTGAGGGCCAGGTATGCTCAATGCTACTAAGTTGTCACAGCTTTCAGGACCTTTCAGTAGACAGAACTCCTTAGTTCACACACACACATACTCACCTATGCATACCTATATATGCATAGGTGTCTGTTTATGTGTACAGATGAATATGTGTGTATGACAAATACATATGCCTACCTTGATCTGCCCCACCAAATGGCTTTAGAATTAAGTCCCTGGTGAGATAAGGAGTAAGAGAGACCAGGCGTACCTGACCATTGCTAAAAATCTTATCAAACAAAAATGTTGCCCTGATTCCACATCCTCCCCCAACTACCATCCCATGTCTTTGAGCTCCTTTACAGAAATACATATTAAAGAAAAACCATTCCCCTCCTTTACCACCACCACAGAAACCTCCTCTTCCCCACCCTTTGCTATCTTTCAATCCTCACAAAACTTTTGTCCTCACCATACCACGGACCTCCAAGTTACCAAACCCAACAATCAATTCTCAGTTGAATTTCCCCTATTTATCAATAGCAACATTTCCTTCGTGAAATACATTCTCCCAGATAGCTCCTTCTCATTGTCCTTTGCTAGACAATCCTCATATTCCTAATCATTAACTGTTGGTATGCCCCAAAACTCAGTCCTAGGATCACTTTTCCACCTGCACTCATTTTACAGTTACTCTCATCCTGCCCTATCCAAAATTATACCGACAGCCCCCTTCAGCCTTTGCACACGCCATTCCCTTTGCCATTCGTGCTCTTTCCTGGTACCTGAATGACTTGCACCCTTGCTTCATTTAGGTCTCTTCTCAAATATCACTCAGTGTGCCCCCAAAGACTGTCAACCACCATGGGTATCTGAAACTACACCTTCCTTCCTCCAGCAACTTTCTACCTCTTGACTCTGCTTTGTTTTATTTTTCTGCCTACTCGACAGCTCCATTTATAGGTGAATTTTAATGCAGAAAAAAGATCTCCAAAGAATTTTTGCCTCCACCCCCAAACCCAATCTTTCCATATTTGTTTAAATCAAAAACCGTAGGAGTATTGTTTACTCTTCATATTAAACCAAATGCTGTCACTTTTATGCTTCAAACACTTCCCAAATCTGACCATATACCACCCCTTCTACTGCCAGCACTCTAATCCAGCCCATGTCCACCTCTCCACTGGGAAATTACAGTAGCTGGCCTCCCTACTTCCACTCTTCCTCTCTGTGGCCTAGTCTCCATAAAACATTCCAATAATCTCTTAAATGCTTTTCTTCTCTGTTCAGATCCTTTTACTGGCTGCTTGTTGCATTTAGAGTAGGTCAAAAGTCCTTAGAGTGCTCTATCAAACACTCCCCACCTCCCCTAAGACCTCCCCCTAATCCACCGCCCACCTCCTCCCATCCACTCACACCGGCCCCCACTCACATGAGCCTCCTTTTAGTTTCCTAAACAAGCTAAGCCACTTCTTCCTCAGAAATTTTGCTTCACAAAAAAAGACCAACAAAACAGCAGTTACCATGGGTCAAGGATGAGAGTATCCTTGGATGAAAGAATGAGAACAGCACAGACAGACAGACCGAATTTAAGTCAAACGCAACCACCTGTTGCCCATGTAACCTTAGGTAAATTTGCCGATTATTTTTAAATACTCAAATCTCTTCATTTGGAACAACAACAAAAAATATAGAAAACCACAGCTTTCATGAAGCTATAGAGAAGATTTCATAAGAATTTATTTCAAACATCTGCCAAACAATTTTGCTCCCCTCCCTCCACCATGTAATTTTTTTTCTCACAGCTGATAAGTAGTAGATATTAGTTCAGTGACTGGTTCTTTCTAATTTCCAAATATGTATAACCACTATCTTTAAAAATGGAAATCATTTGGTGACTTATGTATCACGCTATATTATGTCCTTAGTTCATAAGGAAAATACCACTGACCAGCATATTATCATTTTTTCCCTATTGTGTCCAGTAAATTTTACGGTGTTGTCTAAAAAATGTTCATATAGACTTTTTAATCTGATCTCAATTTTTACCACGATAGAGATCTAGCTATACTTTTAAGACACTGCACTGACAACCTTGAGGTAGCTTAGTTATGTGGAAGAGAGCTTTAGGAATTTTCACTTAACGCTACTGAATGGCTTAAGCAGACTTCTTAGTCACTGAACACTCTAATGTCATATGTGTTAGAAAGATTCTAAGGAAAAATTGCTGAAAGAATCTAAGATAACTTTTACTTCCAACATGAAATGGGTGAGAAAGTCAGTCTGCATTACAAACAACTAAATTCAGTTAATTTATGACAATATTCAAAACTAATTTTCAACCTTTTGTAAATCATGTTCTATGTTCTACATGGCACTAAGGAATTGCTTTGCTCTGAACCTTCAATTCCTAAGGTAAAATGTAGTTTATTTCAAAAGAGATGGAAGAGAATCATCACCTTCTCAGCAGATGTGATACATATGTATATGCTAAGTACTAAGAATGATTATTTCAGGAAGGCACTACTAAGGCACTAAAAATACATTAGTATCACAATCTCACTGATATTTCCTGTCCTCATCTCCTGAAGCCCAAAGTACTGCACTAAAGAAACCTACTATGCCTCATGTACCCAATCTCTCCATATATGTAAGTCTACTTGTTATTTTTAGCACATTTGTCAGGGGCAGCTGTTGAAGAGTAGAAGGGAAAAAACAAGAAGCAATGTAGAAAGAACATAGTCATGCATGATGGCATAGGAGAAGGGTAGCAAAGAACAGACTGAACATAATGTTCAGTCAAGACATTAAGAAAAAACAAACCACCCGACCCCAAAGACACTAAGGAGGAAAAAGTTGTAGCCAGTGATAACAAAAATAATGACCTAGGTCCAGTTTTCCAAGTTTCCTGGGAACTGCAAAGTTGATGTAAAGCTTATTAATCACAAAACAAATCCACAACTGTACTGATAATATTTTGCAGTTAAAAAGGAGAATCAATATTCAACAACATGCATTCTGTTAGGTCTTCTTAAAAAAATCAGCACCATCTCATCAATATTTAGTACTTTATAAATGTTATGTTGCAGGCACTATACTAAACTCTTTAGTTGTCATAACTCCATGATGCAGGCATTTAATGCTTCCATTTAATCAATAAACAACCTCATCTCTCTAAAACTTGGTTTTCTCAAAACCTCAATGATCATAAGTAGGAGACAGGATTCAAATTCAAGCTTTGTCTGACTTCAGAGTCCATACTCTTACATATACCAGCTCTCACTCTACCTTATTTCTTTTCTTCTTCTATAAACTAGACACTTTACCCTCCCCAATGTGTTCCCCTATTACAGGCTTGGCTCATGCGGTTGTGCTTTTAGAAATGTTTCTAGAATGACTGCTCTGAAAAGCAGACTGCAGGCCTTGCCTCAGCTTTTGCAGCATCAGGAAGCCACAAGCAGGGTTTTATTTCCGGCAGCTGGTGTTGGAGGAGAAGGAGGAGGAAGAGGAGGCAGAGAAGGATGGAAGGGTGAAGAGCGCTGAAGAGAAGTCCCAGGTGCAATTTTACCTGCATTCTGTTGGGATGGGGAAAGACCCGTGAGCGACGGTCAAAGGTCTGTCCCACGTGGTAAGGCGGGAACCGCCGCTGCCGGTACTGAGGGCGATACTGGGGTCGGCGCAGCTGATTCCGGGCCCCAGAGAACTGCCCGTCAGTGGCAGGGGGCTCAAATCCTTCACTGCTGCCGCTCCCTTCCTCCTCCTCCTCCCCAGCGTACTAGCGAAGCAAAGAAACAGAGATTCAGAAGGAGTTTCAGCAAGGAAAGAACCAGAGAATACCATTTAGGATGAATATCACCAAAGAAAATAAATCTCCCAAAAGCAATAATCCCTCCTATTATGCAGACAAAATGCATTTAACCCAGATTATCATATGACTACCTGGGATAAACTACATTAAGATTCAAGTAGATCTGTGCAGACAAAATACAAAGCAGCAGAAAAGCAAAAGCAATCGATCTATAATGAATTTAAATCATCTACTTAGAACTGGTGACTATCAGTTGACCAATCACCCACAGTATCTATTTAGCTCTACCAAATGTATGTCTCCAGACATTTACCATCCACTAGGGCAAAATCAGGGTAAAGCCAAGAAAGGATGCTCATGATGTTATTGACATAGTTGACCTAAGTAGCATTCTTCCTACAGTAGTTCTCATAGTGTGGACAGGGGTCAACCAGGTCAGACTACTCTCATAATGCTACTGAGATGCACTTTACCTTTTTCCAGCTCATTCTTTCATGAGTGCATGTGGGTCTTCCAGAGGCTACAGTGGCAATTGTGGTCTCTCAACAGATGGAATGCAAAAACAGATAGGAGAACCCAGCTATCTTCTATTAAACTATACATCACAGAGGTTTGCACATGTGTAAAGCAATACCACTCTT